GGAACTCACGCTTGTGGCCCAATTTTCAGTCAAGCAGTAGACAGGAAGATATGACAACACTAGTAAGGTGTGTTCACTATGGAACGGGCAACCACTCAAGATCAAAAGGGCAACATTAACATAAGGCCAAAGTTCAGAAGGGTTGGAAAGAAGGTGGAATGGGAATAAGAAACAAGGGGAGGAAATGCAATAACGTGTTAGAACACAGAGCAGATTACAACCATTGAGATGAAACAAAGGTAAAACTGAAGATCTGCTCTGTAAACGTTACTCAAATCACAACAAAAGTTTCAAAAAAAAAATCACTTATTGACGAAGATCAAAGAATGTAGCCTTCATTATGGATTAAAACTCAATGTAAAGAAAACAAAAATCCTCACAATTGGACCAATAAATAACACGATAAATGGGAAAAAAAACCCTGAAATTCTCAAGGATTTCTTTTTATTTGGCTCTATAATCCACAATCATGGTCAATGAAAAAGAGGAAGACCCTTAATGATACAGATTGACACAGTGGATTCAACAATGGACTCCAACATAGGAATAATTTTGAGGACGGCATAGAATCTAGCACTGTTTTGTTCTGTTGTGCATAGGGCTTTCGAAAGTATTCTAAGGTCTAATAGTTTTTATTATCATATAATAGTGACAATTATGCAAATATAATGTGAGGACACAATCTTCTTCAAATCTCTCCTTAATATTTGACTTGAACCAAATCTCAGGCACAAGGAATAATAAATTGCACCTTTGTTACTATACTGAATTTTAAAGTTCTGTATAATACACTTTTGATAACTCCATTTCTCAAGATACACATTTCACAAATTAAAGTTTAAAAAAAAATTAATTACTATAGCAACACTATGTGAACAAAAAACATGGAAAACATAAATCAAATCACTGACCTTGCTATTTCCATTAAAACCTGTAAATGTCTGTTATAATCCGCATACCATAGATTAGCAGTTTAAACCCACCAGCTACTCCTTGGAAACTCTATACAGTGTGACTATGGAATCGAGTCAGTGGCTCTTAACAACAACAACAACAACAACATCTTCAATTAGGACTTCTGGTGTGGCACTGTAGGATTAGCACTGGATTGTAAACCACAAGGTTGGCAGGCAGTTCAACCCCACCAGCTGCTCCTAGGAAACCCTATACAGAGTCACTATGAGTTGGAATCAACTCAATGGCACATGACAACAACTTCAATTAAGCCTACAGCTTAAAATACAATTTTAATAAGCAAGTGAAATGATTTCACTAATCAGAAAAAATTATTATTACCTTGTTTATGAACAAGTATATAAAATAAAATCATTCTACAGCCAAAAGGAACTTTAAGAAATTTTTTGGTTTAGTGCTATTATAGGATTTGAAAACTATAACGTTACCAGAAGCTTGCATTTATGGGACCTTGTGCAAGCTCATTCTGCTTAAATTTAGAAGAACTTGTCACTTAGAGCACACTTTTTGGGCAACATACTTAGCTGTACTATTTAGCTGTTCAGGTGACAAACTACTTACAAATACGAAAATTCACAGAATCTCTGATCCTTCATCAATTTATACGGCCTTCAAATATCACCCTGTTTGAAATTCCTAGTTAATCTTCTAAAAATACACATAGCTTTTGCCAGCTTAATTTTTTTTTTAATTTGAAAGCAAAATGACAAAATGCCAAACCTGAAGTTTATTATGTACAAAGCTAGCATCAGTTTTAAAGCAGTATCTTTAAAGCTTATGAGTCTATAGTTTTGAGTCCAGCCAGAAAATAACTGAGATGAGTCATTTTTTATTTATGTTTGGAGCTCAATAGATTAGTTCTATACTTAAGAAAATAAGGGTAAGAAAAACAATGTTTCCTTCTAGGCAGTCAGTCTGAGTTGGTGGTTCTTAGAGTGGTCTCTAGAATAGCAGTACTAAGCACCTACTCCTCATTTACTGACACATCACATTTACAACCATTAAAAACCTATCCGTAATGGTGTGTGTACTTCCGGCAGTAATGAATGCCAATGTGTGCAGTGAGAGTAATACTGGCTGTGATGGTTCAGGATATATGTCAACTTGGCTAGGCCATGATTCTTAGTGGTTGTAATGATATAGATCTCATCCGCTATTTTTTTATCTGATGTAGTCATCCTCCATTTTCACATACCGCCAATGTTCACAAATGACCTAGTTTTTGGAATGTAACCATGTCAATAAGAGAGGAGTGGGCATATATTCCATATGTTGTTAGCTCCTATAAAGTTGGCCCTTGACTTATGGCGACCCCATGTACAACAGGATCACTCCACTAATCCATACGGTCTTCACTAGTTGATTGCTAGGCCTTTCTATCTAGTCTGAGAGTCTGGAAGCTTTGCTGAAATCTGTTCAGCATCTATAATGACATGCAAGTCTCCACTGACAAATGGGTGGTGGCTGCACTTGAGGTGCACTGGTTGGGAACTGGACCAGCGACTTTCACAAAGAAGGTGCGAATTCTACCATTGAACCACCCCTGCTCTCGTAAGCATTATTTTATTTATATATATATATATACACATACACACACACACACACTCTCACATACATATATCACATGCAATATATATACGATTGTAATACATAATGTATAAACCTAGGTATTCATACTATTATCTTAATCTTCATCACAGTGAAAAATACACAATATTTTAAATTTAAATTTTAAGTCTTATTGATATGTTTGTTTTCAATTCACTCCCACTTGTTAAACAAACTTTGGTTATCCTAATAGCCCCATGAGGAAATCATACAAGGAGTAATCTTATTTAATAGATAAGAAAATTGAGGTTTAAATAGGGTAAGTGGTTTTCCTAAGTACACATGACTAATGAGTAGCTGAAGTTCAAATGCAAGATTTCTGGATTAATATCAGGGATTTTCACTATGTCATATAATATTTTCTTGCTGTTGGTAAGTGCTGTTCAGTTGGTTCTGACTCAGAGAGACCCTTTATAGGATTTCCAAGGAATAGCTGTTAGGTCTGAGCTGCCTTTTGGTTCGAAGTCCAGTGCTGATCCTATAGTACCCCCACCTGCCAGGAGCCCTAATATTGTACTACTGATCATCAATTATTTTTACAAAACCATAAAAAGTATTATAATGAGAATAAAATATTTAAAGATATATCTCTACTCTAAATTAGAGAAAACAACAGACACACTGATTTATTTACATATTCTATCAAAGTAGAATAAAACTTCCAATAATTTTCTCACAGACATCTTCTGGTCTTTGACTTTAGCAAGTAGCCTGCAGACAACTTTTTTAGAGTAAGGACACCATTTTTTGCCCTCTTCCACATTTCTCACTGTTAAGTCTTAAGAAAATATATCCTTATATGACAAAATATGAAATTCAAAAATGAGTATCTGTCTCGAGTCAACGTAATAAAAATCAGGATAGATTTTAAGGCAAAGGTAAAAACTAACAGGGCTGTAATTTCAACAAGAATATATATTACATAAATAAATGCTTAGAAATATACAAAACTTCATTGAAAAGAAGAGATCAGTTTGAGGATATTTGTATGATTGACTAACCTAGAATTCTCTTTGTCGTCTTAATGGTTAAAGGTACTATTTAAAGAATCTATTCCAGGCTTCTGAAAATACACTTTGGCAGAAAGTTCTAGCAGGAAATGCATTTGGCAACTAGCTGACTCAGCAGAAAGCTAATCTATCTAATCTGAAAAGACTGAATAAACAAGCATACATCCTTTTCCACTGGTTTTTAAATTTCCTCTCAGCTGAAACAACCTGTATTTGTTTGAAGACTTCCTTCACTGCTCTTAAAAGGTTACAGAGATGAATAAAATGAATATTGAACCCAATCTAAAAGTAATTTTATATTACAGCAGTATGGATTCTGCAATAGAAACAATGTCTAATAAAAGCCATTCTCAGTATTTTTTGAGAATTTACAATGCAATGAAGTTGAACAAGTATTTAGAACTATATTGAGCACATATCCTTTAGGAATTAACATTACTTTGTTCAATTTTTGAAACTGTTATGTATCACCAAAACTCAGTACTGGGCTTAACTTCAATCTCATCTTAATTTTAGTACAATTTTTAAACAACTTTTTCCTTAAAAAGGTATGAGTAGTATGAAAATAAATAACATGACACATTACTAAGTGTCCATCAGTAGGGGACTTAAGTTAAATTCATTCAATTGAATACTCTGCCATTCTTTAGTACATATATGTAATTATTTCCAAGATAAGGTGCAAAGCAAGGTGCAAAATAGTTATGTATGACATTCCTATATTCTGTAAAATAGGGGCAAAAGCCCAACATATATGTAATTACTTGTATATGAACACAGAACTTTTGGGACGATTCCTAAGAAACGAGGGACAATGGCTGTACGCAGGCAGAGAGGATGGTTGGAAGACAGAAGCAAAAGGGAGCCTTTACACTGTACATTATTTTGCCTTTTGTATTATATCATGTTCAAGTAGTATCTATTAAAAAGAAATCAGTTCTTCTTTTGATATTCCCTATGCTGTATGCATAACTCATAATTTTCTAAATTCCTTGCTTCTTTCTTGTCATTATTTGTCAAATCAATACCCACTTAACAGTGGGTGCCTAAGCTGTATGACTTCTATGTGCTTTTAAGTATGACAGCTTTCAGAAGAATATTAAAATGATATTGCTTGCAGATTCCAACTGTTATGTGCAATGAAAGATGAAATCTAAAAGTGCTTTTAAAATAGACCACAGGAGAAACCCAGTGTTCCAGATAGTATTTTTTCTCCATAAAAAGTCTTCTTTTAGAGATGAGGGTTTTTTTAATCATCTTTAATAATCACATTCCTAATTAAGTATCAAATCCAGTAGTTCATTATGAAGAGTATATTACAATGCACAGGTGTTCTATAATATGAACTCAGTAAATATTATGTGAAAATACTTTTTTATGAAGAAGAAAAAAGAAAAACATTCCTACCTTTAAAAGTCTTTCATCGGTCAACAATGCAACCTGCTTCTCAGATGCTTGATTTTCCACGTACCTAAAATTTTTACAATCCCATACACAAAAAGAGAAGATTAAACCATCTAATTCTTTGAACAACATGAGGAAAAAAAGATCTACTTTGCCTAGATTGTGGCTGTTGTTAAGTGCGGTCAAGTCAGTTCCAAATCACAGCACCCCTGTATAGGGTGTCCAAGGAGCAGCTCATGAGTTTGAGCCACAGACCTTGTGGTTCAAACTGACCTTTTGGTTCAGTGATTTATCCCACAGCTACACACCAGGACTCCTTACCTAGACTGGGGTGGTACATTTTAGATTGCTTTTCAAAAATTAATTTTATCAAACTCACAAATTATGTTTCTTTATAAAAAATATTTTTCCTTATGCCAAACTTTTGACTCCAACAAACATATCCCACAATTAAAAACAGAAGGACTTTATTTTACTATAAACAAAACAAAAAAGTTAGCTTATTTTTCCTTTTCCCACCTGAAAAGTAACTGGATTGAGATCTTATTTTTCCTCAAACTCTAATATGCTGTTGTTGTTGTTGTTGTTGTTAAGTACCAACGAGTTGGAGCCGACTCATAACAACCCTGTATAGGGTTTCCCAGGAGTAGCTGGTGAGTTTGAAATGCTGAACTTATGGTTCAGATTGACCTTGCAGTCTAGTGGTTTATCCCACAGTGCCACAGCAGGACTCTACAGTCTATTATGTTGTTGCTAAGTGCTATTGAGTAGGTTCCAATTCATAGCGACCCTGTATAGTTCCAAAGAGCAGCTGGTGGGTTTGAACTGTTGACCTTATGGTCCCCAGTCCAGTGCTGATCCTACAGTGCCATGCCAGAAGTCCAAACCCTATTATTTTGCTGTTGTTGTTAAGTGCCATCAATTAGATTCTGACCCACTGGGACCCTGTAGAGGGCTTCCAAGGAGCTGCTGGTGAGCTTGAACCAACATCCTTGCAGTTCAAACCTACTTTGCAGTATAGTGCATTACTCACAGAGCCACACAGGGACTCCTAAACCCTATTACAGCTGTGTTAAATATCTACTTCTCTTTTTACCTCCTAAATGATGGAAGACGTCGGATGTTTTCACATTGATTATCTGATAAAAAATTTATTCTTCTCTTTGCTTCTGGGAGATTACAGCACAGAACACTGAGTGGCTGAGAATAGAAATGCTCTAATAGAGAAAGCTGAAAGAAATATAAAAATTAAATATATATGTTATATTTTGGCAGTAAATCTTTTGGCCTATGTCTCCTCAATTTTAAGGCTTTTTTTTTTTTTTTTAAGAACAAAAGTTTTATGGCATTAATATATTTAATAATAAACCATAAATCCTACATAAATGGCTATGTACTTTTAATATTTAAAATTTTCAGTTTTGAGCATGAGGTAAAAAAAATGGTCATTTTTTGAAAGAGTAATCAACTAATACTACTGCTAGGATGCTACTTCATGCATTCCCGGGTTTATTCCAAACAAGATGTCTCTGCAATCAGTGGATGGCTGCAGACAAGCTCTCTCAGCAATACGCTTATGTTTGTCTCATTAGGGAGGCTTCAAAAAACAGCCCAAATAAAAACAGTGGCTTCTTAGGAGATGTGCTAGGCCAGTTCAATTCACGGCAGAGATGTCACCTCAGAAGATTATGGTGACTGATTTTGGGGACCCCAAAGGGGTCAAGTTGATAAGATTTTCTCAGGAGACACAGGATGATCAGAGGCTTATTATGAAGTTTTAAGAAAACTGAAATTACCAGTGAAAAAAAGACCAGAAAACTTGCACTGGGGAATTTTTTCCCTCATCAAAAAAATACACTTGCTCATTCTGTGAGGGTAACAAGGGCTGTCTGATGACAATTTCTTGCCCTTTCAGACCTCTGTTATGTTCCTACTACTCAAAGACCACTTCAAAGGAACATGATTTGATTCCTCCAGGATAACAAAATAGCCATTTTGGTATGGTGTAAATTGAAGAGTACAAAATTCCTTGGGGAAAAAGGTTTGGTGTTATTGTTAAGTGCAAATTAGTCAGTGCTGACTCACAGTGACCTTGCATAGAGTTTCCAAGGTGCGGCTGGTGGCTTTGAACTGTTGAACTTGTTAGCAGTCCAGTACTTTATCCTATGATGCCACGCTAGAACTCCTTGGAGAAGTATGGTTACAAATGGGAATACCAGTTTCAGAAGTATACAGACCCAAATGGAGGATATATCAAGAAACAATAGTTTCACATCTTGATATTTTTGTTTAATAAACATTTCTGTGATTTTGTAACAATACTTCTTTACTACTGTTGTATAAACTAAAGAATCTTACATAAGCAGATATATTCATTAACTGAAGAAGCAATTCATTTAAGAAAATTGTAAATGTGTTGCTCTAGTGTAGTGAATTACTTAATGTCTTTTCCAGTTATAGTCTTTGAAAACTACCACCAATAGACTTTTTCCAGCTGGGTCTGGGTAAGAAGAGGTGGGTTAAGATGCTGATAAATTTTACGATTCAACCGGTGAGTGACTATAACAGGGCTAATTATGATTGGTCAATTTTGTCATCTTGCTGAGTATAAAAGAAGCCATTTCAGAAGCAGACAGGGGAATCTTAATACCATCAAAGAAGAGCCAGGAGTTGAAGGCATCCCATGGTCCCTGAGATCCCTGCGTACTGAACCTGCTTCAGCCTGGGACAGAAAGCTGTGACAGCAGAATAGTAGCAGCAGAACCAACAGCCAGAGCACAAGACAGAGCAATGGGCTTCCCAGACCAGGAGAAAGTAAAGCTGAGTGCCTCTGGGTAAGAACCCACTTAATTACAGGAACTAGAAGACCCATGGAACTAGGGCCGAGTACCTTCCGGCTGAGGCTTATGGTTGAGTAATACTCCCTGTGGGCAAAAATCATGATCTCTTTAAGAGCTTTATAACATTGCTCAGGCAGAGAGAGGCCTGCCTATAGGCATGGCTGGGGAGAGTCTGTCCTGACTAGAAGAAATGTGCACTGAACATTTCTAACTCTCAGTTCTGTGTGGCCATTTCAATGAATTACCAAACCCTCCTGAGTAGAGTATGCTGTGGGAGGAATGATGGATGCCATTTTTCACAAGTGTGAATGAAACTGGAGTGTCAACATAGGATCTACCATGTGTCCAAATACTATAAGCAACTATGAATCTAATAGTGCAAAATCTGGTCTTTTATAATACACAAAAATGTTATAATGGTAGAAACTTAATAGGAATAATGAAACATTAATAAAGAAAATTTGTTTTTACATGGAAAACATTGTAGTGTATCTGGCACATATAAATAATCTACCAACTAGAATGCTATGGTCTCCACAGAGTGAGGGGGGATGATTTACCAGATTCTAATATACTTGCCAGATATCTTATAAGATGATCTAAATATTAAAATACTCTGATTCTAAGCAACCGTCTCTCATGACCCAATTTGGTCTCCAAGCTACCTTGGTATGTGAAAGATGGATCCCCCAAGACAGTGAACATACGCAGTCTGGCACATACACTGGAAATGGTATTCTCATCACAATTTAATAAATTGGCATGCTAGTTTAAATATCGGCCTTAAGGTGTTTGTCAAGAGTCAGTGATCCTGAGCTTGATCCTTCCTAGGTGAATGACAATGAATTTCTGAGTCTAGTGTGGTGCTGTGGGTTAATGCGCTACACTGCATAGTCATTTGAACTGTAAGGTCAGTGGTTCAAGTTCACCAGCCATTCCTCGGAAACCTTATACAGGGTGGCTATGAATAGGAAATGACTCGATGGCAAACAACATAGAACCGAAGAATTCTAAAGATAAATACTGGAAGACACAGAAAGCAATAAAAGAAAATGGAAAAAATACACAGGGAATAACTTTATCAAAAAGTATTGGTCAACATCCAACCATTTTAGGAGGTAAATATGATAAAGAACCAATGGTTGATAGAAGGAAGAAGTGCAAGCTGCACTGAAGGCATAGTTGAAAACAAGGTTCCTGGAATTCACAAAATACCAATTAACATGTTTCAACACAACAGATGCAGTGTTAGAGGCGCTAACTCATCTATGCCAAGAAATATGGAAAACAGTGACCTGGAATATTGGCTGTAAGAGATCCATATTCGTGCCTACTTCAAAGTACAGAAAGGTGATCCAAGAGAATACACAAATTCTCAAAGAATATCATTAATATTACACACAAGTAAAATTTTGCTAAATAAAATTTAAAATGTTTGAAAAAAAAACAGGGAATTGCTAGAAATTCAAGCAAGACTCAGAAGAGAACATGGAATGTGGGATATCACTGCTGATAACAGATAGATCTTGGCTGAAAGCAAAGAATACTAAAAAGATGTTTACCCATATTTTAATGAGTAAAGGCATTCAACTGTATGGATATCACAAATAATAACAAATTATGGATAACACTGCGGATAAAAAAAATTCCAGAACTTAATTGTGCTCATGTAAAACTTATACAAAGACCATGAGGCAGTGGATCAAACAGAACAAGGGGATACTACTGTTGCTACTGCTGTATGCTGTCAAGTTGGTTCTGACTCATATAGACCCTGAATCAGGTTTCTAAGGCTGTAAATCTTTATGGGAGCAGAAAACCTCATCTCTTTCCTGAAGAACAGCTGGTAGATTCAAACCGCTAACCTTGCAGTTAGAAGTCCAATGGGTAAGCCACTACACTACCAGGGATACTACATTGTTTGAAATCAGGAAATGTTTGCATTAGGGTTGTATTCTTTCACCATACTTATTCAATCTATATGCTGAGTAAATAATCCTATGAGGTGAACTATATAAAGAAGAATGTAACATCAGAATTCAATTAGGAATGCAACATGCAGATGACACAACCTTACTTGCTGAAAGCCAAGGGGGCTTGAAGCACTTGCTGATGAAAATCCAAGAACACAGCCTCAGTATGGATTACAACTCAATGTAAAGAAAACAAAAATCCTCACAACTGAACTAATAGAGAACATCATTACAAACAGAGAAAAGATTGAAGCAGCTGTCAGTGCTCATAGAAACAGCAGTCGAGAAACTAAAGGACATACTGCAATGGGCAAATCTGCTGCAAAATAACCCTTTAAAGTGTTAAAAAGCAAAGATGTCACTTTGGGAACTAAGGTGTGCATGGACCAAGACATGGTATTTCAATCGCCTAATATGCTTGTCCCACCAATCGTCTGTCAATTTGTCCTACTGTGGTGGCTTGTGAGTTGCTGTGAATATGGAAGCTATGCCACGGGTATTTTAAATACCAGTAGGGTCACCCACGATG